AAGTATTACTTCCATTGCTTGTTAACTTTTCAAGTTAAACTTCTCTTTTTCTATATAATGTTCTTGTTCCTGTAGAAGTCCATATGATTTTTCTTTTTCTTTTTATATTTAATATGGACCTAAATTAATTCGGTTTTGAAATTTCTTGAACATACAATGTTTTCATTATCATAAAATTATCATCTTTTCAATGTAGTTTTTCCCTTTACACAAGAAATTCCCTTTTTAATAAAAGTCGGCTTTATTTAAATGAGTAAGGAAAATATGAATCTACCTAGTAGGTAGAAAATATAATTAAAACTTTGAATTTTTCATACTATTTTACCAGTGGAGAAAAAAATTTGTAATTTTTACTTTGATGTTTTCGCAATTCATTCGAATTTGCGAGTGATGGAATGAACAAACAAAAAACTGCTTTCTGTTTGTCTTACTTTTAAAATGTTGTTGACGAATGAAACGTCATTTATGTTGGATGTTTAGCCAACGAATAAAAAACAGCGGCCGAAATTCAAGTGATCTCTGTTGCCTCGTTAAATCGTTAATTAGCAAGTGCCGAACATGCACGCATGTGAAAATATTGACATTTTGAACCAGTACTCCAAATTTTGAATGTTCACGCCATTAATATCCCTTATAATATATGTACAGCATACATGGCTAAATGAGATTTCAAACGATCAAATGCCAAGTTGACGTCACTATATAATTGTATGCATACCATAAAAATATTTTANATCTCTGTTGCCTCGTTAAATCGTTAATTAGCAAGTGCCGAACATGCACGCATGTGAAAATATTGACATTTTGAACCAGTACTCCAAATTTTGAATGTTCACGCCATTAATATCCCTTATAATATATTGTTGGATTCCTGACCTCCAAACAATAATTGAGTGTCCTTGTCTAACTTCTGACACCAGGGCAGTTTTAAATGAGACTCCGGACTCTTGTTAGAAAGTGTAAATTGATTATTTCTGGTGATCGATGAATTACCTATTCACACTTTCAATTATTGTGTCGCTCGAAAATGAACTTTTAATGTTCAGACACTAATAGACACTTTTCAAAAATGGATTACACCTTCACAAATAATTATTGAAGAATGCTCCGTTCACCGACTAATGACTATTGTCACCTCAGTATGAACCAAATGCTAATTATGTTTTCACCAACTAACGAATAATTAGAGAGTACTAATTAAGTCGCCTTGTAATATGATAAACATTTATTGAGTATTAACTTACAATTCTTAATGTTAACGTAGGTTAAGAACTAAAAGTAAAACTGACTTTATTCGGAAAGAGCATCCCCTTTTATACAAAAAAATCTTATCTAGTGTAGTGGGGGTAGCAATTACTGTCTATAATGATTTATTATATAATCTACCCTTATTTTAGAGTATACAACAATATGTACAGCATACATGGCTAAATGAGATTTCAAACGATCAAATGCCAAGTTGACGTCACTATATAATTGTATGCATACCATAAAAATATTTTAAAAAAAAATACTTGAATCATTTGGCAGCTTTTGGACAAACTTACAAAATCTTTTCAACAATTAAACACAAAAGTATATAAGTAATAGATCAAAGTGAGCTTTCTCTTTTGCTGTAAGCAAAGACAGTTGACCTACGACAACAATGTTTAGAGAAACTATGCCGTTTTATTTTACGAATGAGTAGAGACACCTTTAATTGCTAATAATTCGTCAAATAAAAAATTTGAAAAAAAAAATCTGAACACCTTGTATGATGTGAGTTGATTGTCGACTGCTAATTCTCATTTTGTGGTTGACGAGGATGATGAAGAAAACTCGGCGTTGTTGATAGCGGTTTCGTTTTTAAAAGCTTTTTCTTATTCAGGACGCATTCGGTGGTGGAGAAATGATACGACGGATTTGATTTAACGAAGAAAAAACGCCTTAGGGACTTTCGAAGGCCTTTAGAAATTAACGCTTCGAGCTTTTTGTCGTCAACCGATGCTAACAGTAAAAGCACTATGTCGTTCAAAAATGTTGGTGTCAAGTCACGCATTCAAGCCACAAAGCACTGTTCCCATTCAATGTGAAATTTTCTTCTTTTCCTACTCGCGACAAAATTAATGGGCTAAGTTTTCAGCTACCGAAAGTGGGCCTTTTAATTACCATTAAATAAGAACGCCGGTCTCACAAAAGATTGCATAAAATTAATCCATTTGCTTAAAAGAAACTTTTCATTGAATGAATGTTGCACGCTAATTTTAAACTGTGATAAGTTGTATCCATCGACCAAAATGAAAACCAACGAAAATTAAAAGCTTAAGGTGGCTTCCTACGGTCGGTGAAATCGCAAGCCGGGCCGCACCAGCTCGTGCCAACACGGCGTGGGAAGGGTGCTTCCCGAAGTGATGCGGAATGATCCGTGATGGCGCATCCAGTCCGTCGAGATTCGATATCTTTAAAGGTGCTACTTCAGCCTACCTAAAGCAACCTGTCGCATGTTCCTGTCGTGGAACGTGGAAACCCATCTTTATAGTGCCTACATATATATGTATGTGTCCATAATACCATTCATGACCGTTTACTGTAAGCGAAAGCGCGGATCTTGGTATTGGATTTTAATATAAATTATATGTCTTAATTGTGGTCTGATAGCTAACAGAATTAATGATAGATGAAATCTCACTTACTAAAAGATTTAAATATTAATGTGAAAATTCATTTTCAAATTTTAACCAGTATAAATTACCTCAGATTAATGAGGGAAAATTTGTTGCTATTGTGGCACCTGTTGTTCATATATATAGTAATACGTAATACGATTACCTTAATTTGACGGATCTGTGACCTGATAAATTCGGTTTATCGTTGTTGCTGTTGTCATCTGTCGTCGCTGAGTGGTCAGGACATTGATGCGTAAAGCCAAAGATCCCGGCTGTTCGATTCCCGGCGAGGGTGTCACAACAGTGGTTAAAATATTGAAAATTAATTCAATGTTTTTCATATTAACCACTATTAAATGTCAAAGCGTTTCATATATAAAACATTTAAACCATATTAACACTGAGTTTTATTTCCTTTTTCTTTTTTAAATCGTCGCATTTATTTTATCATCTTATAATTTTGTGTTACAATCTTAATTAAACCCGCGTTTCTATGATAATTGAAGCTGCTTTTGCGCCTAAAAATACACCACGCGTTTGAATAAACGAACTAATTAGCCACTTTTTAAGCAAGCATCAACAAAAGTTTAGGCAGCTAATTAAGAGGACGTTTCTCACGATGCTGAGAGACGTCCTTTTTCAAACAGTCAGGACGATGGCGATGTTTTGATCCATTAAACTTTTCCAACTAATTATAAAATAATACCTAATTAAGTTTCGACTTAAATGAAAACTAGTTTAGCGTGGGGTGGAAACTACACCAACTTTTGCTTATATACTTATATATATTACACTCTTAAACAAAATGAATTAACCTCAAGTTTCATCATTCTAAAATAATCATGTATGTTTAATACTGTTCTAAACGAAAAACATCACTGAAACTTTATTAAGCGGTTTATAAGCGAATGTGTTCGATCCTGAAAACATACGTATGCAATAATTTAATAATAAACAAAGAACAAGCAACTGTATTGGGATCCGTCAAATGGGCATACACCATCTGGTGGCAAAATTTATAACTCGAATGAGGGAAAAATTGTTTAAATTTAAATCGAAAATATGATTTCAAATTAATATTGCATATTAATCCACTATTAGTAACTAACCATGTCATAGAATTTCATATATTTAATATAAAATTTAAATCGAAAAAATGATTTCAAATTAATATTGCATATTAATCCACTATTAGTAACTAACAATGTCATAGAATTTCTGAAAAATATANAGCCATAACCTTAATATTTAAAACTAGAATCATACTAAAATTATAAAGTGAGAAATTATTTATTCCTGTGTAATTGATTTAACACAATTCTAATGATATGATATAAGTATTTTGAGGTTAAGAACCTACCTGCTGCAATACAACAAAGTTGCAATAATGTGTTTGGAACGTTTTCTTAAATCGGCTTTGCACGTGCAAGTCATTGATATGATATTGGTTAAATCACCTCACCGATTATATAACGTGAATCACTTTTTCAATCCGAAGTTTGTAAAAAGTAGGCAGTAAATTTGACGGAATTGTTATTTCCGAATTTTATAATGTGATTGGCATTAAAAACACACTCACCTTCAATGAAATTTCCTTTCCGAGGCTTTGTGTCAGCCCAATCACATATTGTGTCAATACCTATCATTTTATCGTAATTTTAAACTTGGAAATTGCACGGTACACTATAGGAACTACGATAAATTTTCCCTAATCGGCGCCATGTTTTTAGGCTCCTCCCATTTGACGGATCCCAATAGTATATTCAATATTTTTTTGCGTCCATGTTTATAATAACTGTGGTTGTTTCTTTCATCTTTTATTCATTTGTTTCTAATAGAAACGAACAGTATATATACATATACAGGCATGGTCTAAAAATGAAGCGATTTATATTTTACATGCTTGCGTAGCTTGTTTTTCGCGTATTTCTTTTTTCGAAAGAACGTGTTTGATATTCCGCCATCACATCTCGCTTATTTTCTGTTCTCTACTTCTTTAAAGGTAATGAGTATTCTCGTTAACATGACGAGACTCCGTTCGACTATTATGTTTTACATATTGTATAACGCACATGTCTCAGAATGTTGGCAGAATTGTAGGAATAATGAAGAACAAACACGTTTCTGTGATACTCCTAGAACGTATGTACAAAAGTAATACTTTCTCTGGCAATGTAGTGATGCAGTGAGTAAAATAACAACAGATGGCGTGCGGAATGCCGTTTGTAGTTATTCTCTAAACGGCAGCAAATATACAAGTTGAGATTGATTAAAACTAACTAAATAACCCACTCCAAAAGCACTTCTACAGAATTTTACCGTAAAACACAAAAAGAGACTTCAAGGGAAACTTACTTTTGTCGATGAACCTGAATGTGCCAAGGAAACCTGAAGGCTTTGGCATTTGTGGCCCCGTATGAAACTCTAAAACTAGTCCAGGACCTGAAGAGTAGAGTGTATGTGAGGGTAGTTCTTTCAATTCGCCACACAGCAAAGCTGTCCACGGGGTATATTCATTTATATCGCCGCTCTCCAGATGAAGAAAAAGTTTTAGGAAATCTTGTTGGATACAACTGAAACAAAATGTAAAAAATTAGTTGTCTCCCTTTGTTTTCTGCTAGATACAATACCTAAGTATAATTATTAAAGTGTTGTTTCACGTATACTGCATAGACTACTTTCGGTACTCGTTTATCTTCAACTGTATTAACATACACAACATTACGTTTGACAGGAGGCGGGAAAACGTTTCCAGATAAACCGCCGGGAATCTGAAATTCCTACAAACCCGTTCCTTCCGGTGCACCGACAGTTAACGGCACAATCCGTCTTTTTGAAAATAGGAAGACACAATAGTCCTAACGTTAGAAGCGTTCGAAATGGGATATCATATGCGAATGATGAGGATGCTATGGATAGAGGAGGTATGTAAAAAATGAGGAAGTGTTCTCGAGCATGAAAGGCTAGTTAGAGACATATTAGAAGCAGAAACGGGAGTTAAGGGAGTGGGGGTGCGTGCCCAACTAGTCTTAAGACTGACGACCCTATGATGATGATGATGATAATGATAATAATGATGAATACACCTAAAATATCATACAATAGAAACGTGTATCTGAATGTCTCGATGACTTAAACGTAATCCCTAAATAATTTTAGAATACCTACTTACTAGGTTTTGTAATAGAAACGTGAAATACACGAGAAAAATATCGCCCTGTACATTAAAATCTTCCGTGGCAATTAAAAAAAGAGTTCGTTTAAATCAAATTGCTACTACTTAATCCTGACTAACAAAGTTGGGGATGCACATGAATTAAGTTCCCAGACGAATGTACAAACTTTAAACTTGAGTTACTCAGCGAAGAAGAAAACAGAAAATCTCGAAGTCCGTGACATATTTCCCCGGAGATGAGTAAGTACGTTCGCCACGTTCACTTCGCATACAAAATCACTAGTTGAAACACCCTCATTGTTGTGAACGACGGTCTAAGACTCTAACATTTACTTTAAGGATGATGCTTCATTACAGAAATTGCTACAGGAACCTCTTCTATTCTTTTCTAGCCTAACGCGAATCAATAAGAAGTTGTTCTACTGAGCATTTTGTTCAGAATTTCTTACCACATAGGCATATAGTACACTTCATTTACTTTCTCTAGCGATGTGCCCCTTCCAATGTCTTGGATGCGCACTGGCAAAATCATAGGTAGGGAGAAAAAAGCACATTATACTTTCGACTCTTGTTCATTAAACATACTTTTTCATACAGTACCTACCAAAAGTTTTGTTCAATCATGAATTGTAGTGCGAGTCGAAAACAAGCGTTAAAGCCTTTAATATGTCTTTAAATATAAATAAACATCTCGTTGATGTTTTCAGTAGTAAATGATACCAATAACAGCACATTTGAGCAATGCAATTGTAGTGGATAAAATGGTCAATTTTTCCGTGCAGTACTGTACGGATTATACGCTCCTCACCGGTTACGAGTTTGGCCAAGAGTTGTCTCCTTTCTTTTCTGGCCTAGTGCTGTTCTTTTCTACTTTGCGCTGGTCAAACTGAAGGTCACATTGCTACAGAAAGTAAACGAAGTATACGTATGTAGATAACATTGCATAGTAAAGGTACTGTAGATGATTTACAATTCTTAGAACCATTAAAATCCACTCCTTTCAATATATTTTAACTTCTTTTCTTACAATATGGCGGCTTAAATCCGCCATTTTGTTTTTGTTTTCAGTTCGTAGCACGCAGTGGCACTTCTGATGCCAATAAACAAAGTCTCTGTTGACAATTTAGTCGAATTTTACAGTGCTAGAATCAGGTTGAACACACTGTGTGGTGCATTTAAATGAATGAAAAAATATAAAAGAAAAAAGTCCTTTGAACCACGACAACATTCCAAACAAAAGAAAAATGGGGAATTCGACGATTGAAGACCTTAAGAAAGTTTTAGAATACTTCGACTAGAACAGGCGACTGTGAAAAAACTTCTTCTCGGGGACACCATCAGACATTATCAAAAGAAATGCTGAAGGAAAAATGATAAATTCCAGGAATAATATATGAGGTGCCTTGTTGTCGTACCCATGAGGACGACAGGGTCGTTCAGGTCTCCAAGAACTCGGTTTATTAAATATTTTTTAAAGAATTCCTTCTTGGGATCGTCAAATTTTCTCTTATTGTGTGCCACCAATTGAGCTTGAAAAATAAAAAGATGTCGAAATGTCTACATCTAAATCCCTCATTGAATTGAAATGTTGTTTATTGCAAAACTGTATAATAGCAAAAATGATTATTTCTCATGGATGGAACTACTACCGAAAATATCTTAGAAGACCGCATGACTAATTAAGAATGGAAAATTTAGCCAAATCTTGTCTATTACCTTATTAATTTATTAAACTTTAATTTCAACTTAAATAGATAAATTTATAAATAGGAGAGCACATGATGAACTATTTTTAATAATATATAACAATCATGTATGTATTGAAACAATGTCGAGGTTTCGATTGTATCAGACAGTTAATAGTTGACAATTGGCGGTTGTTAGTTAACAGTTGACAGTTAACAGTTGACGGTTGACAGTTTATAGCTGACAGTTAACAGTTGACAGTTGGCAATTGACAGTTGCCGGTTGACAATTGACAGTTGACAGCTGACAGCTGACAGTTTACAACTGACAGTTGACAGTTGACAGCTGACAGTTTACAACTGACAGTTGACAGTTGACAGCTGACAGTTTACAACTGACAGTTGACAGTTGACAATTATCATTTGCGGGTAGCGTACATTGCGACACAACTTCCTTCAGATATTATACTTTTACTCTCTACCCGCCAAGAGAACTATAACTTTAAAAGTAATAGACGACTGACACTTGGTATGAGTTAGTTTACATATTAACAAAGACGTTAATAATACATTCACGTTTACCGTCCTTCACCTACTCCTTTATCTGTCAACATATTGAAATTATGGAATTGAGGGTGAAATTTGCCCAAGCATCAACGTACAATCCACTTAATCAATCCATCTGTCGTCGGAAAATTCTTGAACTGTGATTGATGTGACCAACAATCGTGCATTCGAAGGGAGATGAGCCAATTGTGCTAGTCATGTTTAGTCTACGTTGCTCCGGGACGTTCACGGTCTGATTTATGAGCCGTAGGGCACCCCTGATGCATCTATTGCGCATACCCTCTCCGGGGAAATTATTACAGAATTATGAAATCGGAAATCCACTTCTTGTAACGGACCACTCACTGCCTTCGATTCGACCGTTCAAATGTAGATTCGCGAATAGAAAGGCGATGGCTGGTGATGAGTACCTTTATTGGAAACCTTATAAAGAAAAGGGAAGGTACAAAATGAATTCCTACCAAATTAAATTTTATACTCAAAGGGTCGTCCTCAAGGAGAAGTAGATAACGATAGTAAAGCAAAAAATGAACATCACTTTCCTCAAATAATTTTCTGTGTAGCATTTTAATTTGGATCCCTTCTCCTTTATTCTCTTCACAACAACAAAAGCGTCCCGATGCAGAAAGAATTCGTGTTACAGAATAACATTTTAACAGCTGTGATTAGCGCCGTGTTTTCATTCCTCCGCGCTCTATCTTTCTCTGTGTCTGATTGCGCCCTGTCGCTTGCCATACTTGTACCCGATGATAAATGCCACCCCAACAGACGTGCAAGAAGCTACTTGCTTTTCTGTTCCGCCACGAAAACGGCCGTCAAGACTGAGGAAATTAGATTTTCAGATCATTGACTGCGTACGGCGAGAAAATTCGAGACGGGAAAACAAATGATGACGGCAACTGAGAATTGACACGGTGTAAACCATCGCTATTCTTTGCCCTTCTCTTCCCGTTTGCGTTTTTTCAATCAAGGTACGGATCTCTCCAAGAAAGGAATTTCGAATTAAAATATCATTCACATTATGCATTCATCAGACTTTGTTGTTAGAATTTTAAAAGGTTTACCTCTACATAAGAACAAAATAGCGAGCTTTCATGTTCTATAATGACCAAAAACACATCTACTGTATGAATTTTATCAAAATCATTAAATTACATACATACCGGTTGCGAAAGGGTAAACTATGACATAAGGAATCGTAAACTCCACTAGTGGCGGATTGAGAACCAAACATAACGATATTGTAAATGTTATATGCAATTAACAAAAAGATGGAAAAAAATACGAAGTAGTATAGGGAAGTTCGTGCAAATACCTCCACTCTTATACAAGAATTACCTTGCTTTTTTATTAAAAAAATATCCTAAAATTATTTCCTACTTAGTTATACTTCGTTTACTTTCTGCAGCGATGTGACCTTCAGTTTGACCGGCCCAAAGTAGAAAAGAACTGCACTAGGCCAGAAAAGAAAGGAGACAACTCTTAACCGGCGAGGAGCGTATAATCCGTACAGTACTGCACGGAAAAGTTGACCAATTTAGTCACTACAATNCTTATTGTTAATATTTTTTTTGAAATTATTTATTTCTATCAAATCGTTGATTAAATTATTATCTATCCTCTAAAGCAAACATAAAAAAACGTGGATTCGTACCAAGATGTCCGGCGCCTCCACCACATTAGGAAGAAGCGTTTTTCGTATATGACTTTAAATGTGATACAATCACAACAACGTTCTGTATGTTTGGTTTAAAATATTGTTATAAAAGTTACCTAATGTCGTAAATAGCCAAAGGATCCATTAACAACCCTTAGAGTTAATGTTTCTTCTGCGCATCGATTAACGTGAAAAGTTTAACAAGTGTTCAAAACTTAAAATGTACATAGGTAGGTATATATTATGATCTTAATTTAACTTTATAACATCCTCACCCCTTAAATTAGTCAGTTTAGTTAGTTTAAACCCTTTTGGAGATTCGGAATGTTCTTCGGAAATCCTACAGAAACAATGTGGGTTTGTACTTGTAAACGATCCTTCGCTTATTTAGATTACGTACAAGAATCACTTCCAGCTTATTATGGTCATAAAAGCAGTTTGTAATCGCAAATACCTAAAAGCACATTTTTAAAGTATTTAATTATTAGA